TGCCCTTTTTCGCTTTCTCCTTTCAAACCATCGTTTGTTTAAGCTACTACTTCCTTAGTGGTTGCTGATGACGCAAACAGGATAATGTTTCGTGATAAAAGTGCTTCGAAAACAATAGAAATTTCTTCTTGGTTGCCGGTGACCTTATTAAGACTGTCGCAGCAGTGACAACAAGAAAAATTTCAGAATAATTCATGTCAACTTAAACTTCAGGAGAATGATTGACAGTCAGCTGCATGTGACTATTTTTAATACAGGAACTTCTGGAACTGAAAACCGATTTCAAAGGATAGTGTCAGGACGAGTTGGAGCAGAGTTCTAAAGCCAACCCGTTTGATCTCCGGATATATCTTTTACGCAGTTATAGAATTCTTCTTATTGGGATTTCCTTGCCTCAAGATCAAAACCAACGAACATGGATCAAGCAAACTTCACTTTAAATTCAACCACAGCACCAACAACGAAGGACCTCGGTAAGGGAGACTTCGCGGAAGGAATAGGTTCAGATGACGCTACGTGGATTTTGACGAGCGCTTTCATCATTTTTACAATGCAGTCCGGATTCGGACTTCTCGAATCCGGAATGGTCTCCAGGAAAAATGAAGCGAACATCATGGTCAAGAACGCGGTGGATGTGATATACGGTGGACTGTCTTATTGGCTTTTCGGATTCGCATTTAGCTACGGAATCAGCGAGCGTAAAAACCCGGTTATCGGCCTTGGAAAGTTTTTGACGGACGCAGACGAACGAGAAATGGGGAAGATCTTTTCAAAGTACTTTTTTCAGCTCTCCTTTTCTACGACTGCGACAACCATTGTCTCTGGTGCTATGGCGGAAAGGGCGAGCTTAAAAGCGTACGCACTTTACTCATTCTTAAACACTCTGACATACTGTGCTCCAGCTCATTGGATCTGGGATGAACACGGTTGGCTTCGGAAAATGGGCGCTGTCGACATTGCCGGATGCGGTGCTGTGCATTTAGTTGGCGGAGTGAGTGGCTTGGTGGCGACTTTGATGTTAAAGCCCCGAACTGGCAGATTCGATTCAAATTCTCCGCCCAAACAAATGGCTTCTCCTACAAATGTTCTCTTGGGGACCTTCATGTTATGGTGGGGCTGGCTGGGTTTTAACTGTGGCAGCACGTTTGGAATAAGCGGCATGAAGTGGAAACTTGCCTGCAGGTAAGAATGTTCTATAGTACAAGGTTATAAATAATTCAGGTTTAAACGGCCAAGATATTGAATTATGGGTTTAGTTTGATCTGTGCAACGGGTGGCCTTGGGATTAGAAGTTGGAGAAAGAGGATTGTTTTCTAAAACCAAATCTTTACTGAACTACTGAACTGCGATAGTGTTCACTGGTAGCTCAAACTACATCTTGGAATACGCATTTATTCTTTTTCTTCGCTTTTTTCGGCTTCTCTAGGCTAGATCCCAGAGGCCTTAAAAATGAGGTTAGGATTGATGGTTACTGACCGCAAACGACAAGCGAAAAATATTAAACTTTTGCCATCTGTAACGTTTTTACACTAAAGTGAACAAAGCAGTGTTTGCGGTTAATAGCGGATATTTTTCTACCTATCATGATTATATATTGATATAATTAAAGATAATAAAAAACATAACAATAAAATCAGAGACAATATTTTGCAGTTTGCCTTAAAACTCTCTAACATAACGTACATCATAGAATAGGTTTCTATATGCCCGGGCTTGCTTCGATCTTTAAGTCGTTTCCTTTATTGAACTATGACGTTTTCCCAAGCATATGTTCATGGAATTGCTAACCTTTCATGTTAGATCACAAATCAAACTAGAAGAAGGAGTGCGTGAAAGATTAATTATTAGTTCGATTCCTGCTCGTTCTTTCAAGTGGCGACTTTTTGTTTGCTCATAGTCGTATGCAATTTACCACACAGGGCAGCAGTTGTAACTATCAACGGCTCTATAGGTGGAGGGATACTGGGGATGACATACAGGTAGGAATACTAATCTGACTTTTCTGTCAGCTGGGACTAATTTTTAAATATTGACTTTGCCACAAAAACTACATTACTGCTCGAAAATGCTTTTTCTGATATGAAAATGCGCTTCAATTTTACAAACATGTTTAGGCGCGCCTGACATGTGTCATGCCATCACGGGGGAGGCTCTGCCCAAAAGGATTTACCTTTTTCTAGGTAGAGGTATACGAAGTTTCTTTCAGCTCGAATTGCCTATCAAAATATCCAGAACAGATTCCTTCAACGGCTAATTCATCCCAACGTTTCAAGAGATCACTCAATCCAAGGGTCTGTACGTTAGGTGTGTGAAAGAGTAGCCATTTTCTATGGAAAGTGTACATAGAAGGGTTGCTTTTCCTGTCAAAAATGGTGTATACAAAGGAAAGGGTTTAGACCTCAGTGCGGAGGCTCCCCGTGTAAAGCTCCGCTGAATAGCTATCCTTCCCCCTCCGGGACGTATGATGAACTCGGTAAAAACATGAGATCCAGACCTTATCGATAAGGCAACCTCGCTTTACATCATCCTCGGGGACCCAGCGGTAGTTCTTTGGAGCGGGAAGAGTTAAACCCGGCAAAAATAAAAGCGGCGAAATTTTTCCCGCTTCAATTTTTGTCTGGTTTACTTCCCCATTCATCTAAGGATGGCTTGACATCTTTACATGAAATTATTCCATTTGCTGTTACTTTCAGCTACATTTGTTTAAAGAACAAGTTAAACATTCCAATTTTTGTGACTGGGATTCTGGCTGGGCTCGTCNCATAGTCGTATGCAATTTACCACACAGGGCAGCAGTTGTAACTATCAACGGCTCTATAGGTGGAGGGATAGTGGGGATGACATACAGGTAGGAATACTAATCTGACTTTTCTGTCAGCTGGGACTAATTTTTATATCTTGACTTTGCCACCAAAATTACATTGCTGCTCGAAAATGCTTTTCCTGATATGAAAATGCGCTTCAATTTTACACAAATGTTTAGGCGCGCCTGACATGTGTCATGCCATCACGGGGAGACTCTGCCTAAAAGGATTTACCTTTTTCTAGGTGGAAGTATACGAAGTTTCTTTCAGTTCAAATTGCCCATCAAAATATCCAGAACAGATTCCTTCAACGGCTAATTCATCCCAATGTTTCAAGAGATCACTCAATCCGAGGGTGTGTACGTTAGGTGTGTGAAAGAGTAGACATTTTCTATGGAAAGGGTACATAGAAGGGTCGCTTTTCCTGTCAAAAATGGTGTATACAAAGGAAAGGATTTAGACCTGAGTGCGGAGGCTCCACATGTAAGGCTCCGCTGAATAGCTATCCTCCCCCCATCGGGACGTATGATGAACTGGGTAAAAACATGGGATCCAGACCTTATCGATAAGGCAACCTCGCTTTAGGTCATCCTTGGGGACCCAGCGGTAGTTCTTTGGAGCGGGAAGAGTTAAACCCAGCAAAAATAAAAGCGGCGAAATTTTTCCCGCTTCAATGTTTGCCTGGTTTACTTCCCCACTCATCCAAGGATGGCTTGACATCTTTACATGAAATTATTCCATTTGCTGTTACTTTCAGCTACATTTGTTTAAAGAACAAGTTAAACATTCCAATTTTTGTGACTGGGATTCTGGCTGGGCTCGTCAGCATAACAGGTAAATTAATTTGCGTTGAGTGATGCCACTTTTGCAGCTAACATTTAGTCCGAGTTGTTCGGACCATCTAGGTTACCTATCTGAGTATGTCTTTAATTTCCGAAAATCTTTCGTACTGGCGTCGTTTTTAACAAAACCATAGAAAAGTATACACCACCGGAGCGTCAAAAGAAATGATTATTTTAAAGGACACGCAAGCCTTCAAATGCAAAACTGAAAATGTTTGCTAAACTGAATTACCTGTCTTCGTCCACGCACGTACGACCAAACAAACTGAACCATGTCAATCAATGACGGACTACAAAAATGTCTGTGGCTTTTTTGATTTTCTTATTGGTTGCTAAAAAAAAATTATTTTGATCTAGACGTATAGGATATTTGCGGATCTTCGTCACATGACAAGGCCTATGAGAGAAAGTTTTGACAAGTTTTGACAAAAAAGACTTACACACTTTGGCGCATTGAAAATCGAGGAACAGTTTTTAGCATTCATCAGCACTTCTACATTAGTTAATTACTACCATTCCTCCTCGGTCACAGCAGTGACATCAAGCAAATAATTGGTAAACAAGTTATGATCATCTTAAATTAAAAACGCCCTCCATTGTCGTGTTTAGCGCTTCTAGCTCAGAAGCGAGTTCGATGAGTCCTATTTTCATGAAAAACGAACGCTGTCAGTAAAGTAGAGTTTCGACTCGGAGCTCGTAGCCAACAGTTTGAGAGTATTCTCATGCAATGCAGTGGAATTACACGCGTATCATGTTGCGTCTGGTAGTTTTGTTTATTTCTTCAGTCAGCGCTTATCAGTCATTCATATTCTTTCATTTAATACGCAGCCATCTGTTCTCTTACTCACCCATGGGAGGCTATCGTAATTGGTGCAATAGGCGCCCTCCTAGCCTGTTCTGGATGTGCTCTTCTCGAGAGGCTCCGTATCGATGATCCTGTGGGCTGTGTACCCACACACGGTGTGGCAGGAATCTGGGGCCTATTGTCCGTCGCCTTCTTTGTTGAAAAAGATATCCTCGAAAATCGATTCTCTAACGAGTTTGGAATCTTCAAGGGCGGTCGCTGGAGCTTCTTGGGAGTTCAGCTGCTCACGGTCGTTGCTGTTGCTGCCTGGGCTGCGTTAACAACATTTCTAGAGCTGCTATTGGTCAATCGGCTGCTGGGACTGCGCTTGAGTGTGGAGGATGAGTTAATGGGGGCTGACAAAGTGGAGCATGGAATCGACGAACACGATCCGAACTCAACTCAACGCAGTTATGGCGTCAATTCGAAAGAAAATGGACACGAAGACGCATTGAAATCAGTAGAGGTAAATCTGATTGGTTTGGAAGCCGCTAAGATTGACTGCACTTCAAGGAAAGTTATTCGCGCAAC